ATCCGCGAAAGAATGCTTGCGAAAGCTACTGATAACCAGAGATGTTTATCTATTATGGGGTTCAACGTTCCCAAGGGGACGTATCACACTTGATTAATTACATCTTAGGGGTTACCTAAGAATACTCTTGATTCGATGAGTTTTGCTTACATGTAAAGTGACAACTGGCACAGAACCATCAAAGTACAGTTATTTCACAGTGGAATGCTATAATGCTTCTAAAGCTCCCGCTAAGCCACAGAGTGAAGAGTGAGTCGGTCTCTCACGATTCTACTTGGGTAATGTGCTCATCAACATATGGAGAGTGTGAAATAACTGATTCATCCCGATGGGGAATCCTAATATGTCAAAGCACATTTGGGTCATAAGTGTAGAGAGCAAATCATGATATCCCAAACAAGAGGCAGCCCATTGGTAATTAAATCATCGAGCTAATACCGAAAAAGACAAAAGGAGCGTCAAGGCTCAAAAGCGGTTGTCAAAGGAAGGGAGGAGGAATACCTAGAAGGTAGAGGTAGTCGGGTTAGTGTACCACAGACCCATCATTCCAAGCTATTAGGACCCTAAGTCTACCTGGTCATGAAGATAGTCGACCAAACACGTCTGAAACACGTCTGGAGATTCCCCGCTCGATAACCCTAAGATCAAAAGAATAAAACTTATTTCTATGACTATCAAATGGAGCTCCAAGGGTGGGACTTATACCCGTCAAAGTGGCGAGAATGCCGCTGGAAAAAGAGGAGAAATGAAGATTCAACTACAAAACTAGAAACACTCCCAACAAAGAACTTACACCCGATTTGGGTCTAAGAGACTCTAATGACCTATGCACACTAGACAACCATCTAATCAGAAATTTATGTTGTGTCAGTCGAGTTAAAGAAGCATGAAGGCTTCTCCTCGAGACATGAAAAAAGATACAGTTATCTAAAATCATCATTAAATATTGTGGAGGCCATATTATTTGACTTAGGTTATGTCAATGCTATGTAACCCGTTTAAAATCTGACTTGAATGTCATGTAGTAAAGTAAAAATAGGTTTTGAAATCCTGAAAATTTTAATCCTAAATTTTAGATTATCTCAATCTTGCATGATTAGGTTTTTGTCGAAAAATTTTCAATTTTAATGTCCTTAATAACATAAATTGCAATTTTTGTAGCATCCCACGTCAATCATGAATTAACAGGGAAAATAATCCAAGCATGCAAACATGCCAGAAAAGTGAGAAAATTAGCTAAATATAAAATAATTTAAAAACGGTGTCGCTGGGTCGATGACATATCCCATAAAAGAAAAGATGACCAGACTTTGTATATACATGTCTGATCCTAATTGAGGCATAAATGAGATATAGAATTAAGGTACGAGAAATAAGCAAGCAGTTTTTGATCCCAGCCAAGTGGTTTCGTCTGCCTGGCGCCTCTGAATCTATGCTCATACCTTATTTGTGATAAAATTCTCTCCTAGGAATCTAAAAGTACAAAAGAAAATGAGAAAAAATACTCAACCTGCATTACAACAATGTTAGCAGGAAAACCAATAAACATACAACATATGATGAGCTGTGTCTTTTTATCGGGGGAGCTAAATCATCACATGCTCCCCCTTTAATGATGCTTTTATGTGTGCATACATATAGGCATGACTTCTTGCAGAAGAATGCCTTAATGTACTACCTTGCATATTAAGCATGCAGGTACACCAAAACCACAACAGTGACATTTGGCTAGCATAAATAAATCAGCAAAGAATAATAGCCAGATGCATAACAAAGGCTACCTTGCATCATAAATCAAAGCCTAACAAATAATCTAATGAGAATGTGTCATAACCCAAATTTATGGCTCAGGGTAAGGTCTCCGGATAAGTATGATTTTGATGAGGTCGTTGCACCAGCTTCTTCCTAAAAATCCAATTGATCGATATGGTGTCACACTGAATGGGTTTTAAAAAGGGTTGGTCTTACATAGGACCTTGCTTGCTACATGCATAATTTTAAAAATTATGACGGATATAATAAGTACAAAAATATATGTTTTTTAGTTTTAAAATAAGGGTCATTAAAGATAGTCACGTAACATGCAAGATGACATAAGTTGAATCCCTCAGACCTTTAACATAATCATACTAAGGATGGGTGTGTCATGGAGGTAGCGACCCGGAAGGGTGGGCATGTCATGGTGGTGGTGGCCTAGATGAATGGGTGTGTCGTGGAGACAGTGATCTGGAAGTGTGGACATGTTGTGGAAGCTGCGACCCAAAAGAATGGGTTTGTCGTAGAGGCAGTGACCCCGAAGGGAGGGCATGTAGTGGAGGCGGTGACCCAAAGAATGAGTGTGTTGTGGACGCAATGACTCTAAAGGGTGGTCGTGTCGTGAAGATAACAACCCGAAGGATAGGTATGCCTTTGAGGAAGTGACCTGAGAGGGTGGGCGTCTTGTCGAGGCAGTGACCTAAAAGAGTGGGTGTGTCGTGGAGGTAGTGGTCCAAAAGGGTGGGCATGTCATGGAGGCAGTGGATTGAAAGAATGGGCGTGTTACGAAGGTTTTGGCCTGAAGAATGGGTATGTCGTGGAGGCATCAACCCAAATGAATGATTGTGTTGTGTAGGTAGTGACCCGAAAGAGCGGTCGTGTTGTGGAGGCAGTGACCCGAAGGATGGACATGTCGTAGAGGTTGTGACCCAGAATGGTGGGCCTGCCCTGAAGATAGCGGTCCGAAAGAGATGGGAGTGTCGTAAATGTGACTCGAAAGGGTCAGCGTGTAGTGGAGGAAGTGGCTTTTAGAAATGGGTGTGTCATGGAGGTAGTGACTCGGAAGGGTGCCTACGATAGTCCAGAGCAGTTCCATGGGAAGTGTAACAATGTAACTTTTATTGAAGGGAATTACACAACGAACTGGCTTGGTGAAGAACCATCTGTTCACATGATAAGTGAACATGAGGGATAAGTGTATGAGAAACACACATCCAAGTGCATCAAATGTAAATGCACAAGTCATGAAACATGCAGGGTGTTATGCGAGCAAACACACAAACGTGAGAAGTGCAAGCTCGAACTACATGTGATATGGTGCTAATTGACATGAGGATGCCACGAAGCAAATATGGAGTAATTTGTCGTTGGGAGACACAAGTACTTGTTGCTTGCATATGAGAGTATATTCTTAAAGATGCACAATAAAGGTGTAAGGGATGAATGTTCTAATGCAAAGTCATGCAATCAATATTAATGCACGTGGAAGACACACATTGTGCAAGCGGGATCGGTTGTTCAAACAGCTGGGCTGACCGGGTTGGTTGACCCAGGGCAACGTGGCCAACGGGCTCAGTCAGCTAAGCTGGCTGACTGGACCAAAGTAATTGCATGATTGGGTCGAGGCGACCGGTTGGACCTAATTGATCGCTCGACTAAGCTGGGGCGACTGGTCTAATTGAAGTAGTTAGTCGACCGAGCTGGGCAGTCGGTCGGAACAAAATGATCAGTTGATTGGGTCGGGGCGGTTGGTCGGACTAAAGTGGTCAGTCGACTGGGCCAGGGTGGCCGGTCGGACCGAAATGGTTGTTCGACCGGGGATGTTGGGACTTAGGGAGTCATTTATCCACCAATGAGATCTTCACACCTAAATCCAAAGATCCCATAACAATCTATCTATCAACAATAAAAAAACTATGATCACAATTTTAATTCAAATAATTAATCATAACCTTAACCATTTCCAATGATATATCTTTAGCATGAATATAAAAGCTCCTTTATCGAAGGATAGCCAACAACATGGAATTAATAAAATTTAAGGTGCGAGTTTGCTAGAGACAAACTCAGTAGGTGAAATCCCACTGAGCAAAGTATAAAAGATAAGACAGTTCATAAATATAAACTAATAATAGACAAGAATAAAATATTCGTTATGTTATTGTATCTCTAAATATTATGAAAGAATTTATCTAATGATACTCAACAATTAATAAAAAAAAGATACTTCTATATAAATAAATGATTATTGTGTCCACATGCCAACATATCCACTTCTCATATGCTCTATAAATAACTGTTTAAGCATATATTAATCTCTTTTTATATATAATTATATATATGTATATTTATAGCAGTTTAACTATGACATTCTGAAACTAGGAAAGGTGGGCACCAATTCTTTGGTAGACATCAATTCCAAGGAAATCCAATAATTTCTTATAGAGTCATTATTCTGTGGCCCCATTGGTCTGACTATATAACATTCAAAGGGGCTTTATACAGACACACATATTTTACAATAATCATGCATATTCCACCCAAACACAATCAACTTATTACTATGAGTAGTATTACCTATATGATTATTGTTATGCTTATATCAAATATATATGCGTGAAGAATGGTTGCAAACACTGAATATATCAGAATCAATGCGTCAACAAAATAAGATTTAGCTAAACATCGAATCACATCAATATGAGTGCAAGTGCAATTACTAAAAAAAAAAATTCATAATAAGTCTATAAATAGTAAATGCTTATCAAAATAGCAAGGGTTACACCCCTAAATTCATTCCTTTCTCAGTAAAGAGTCACCTACCCTATGCATGTCACGAACAATCTCATGCACAAGCCATGATTCTAAATAACGCCCTTTGCCCATACTATTTCATAAATCCTACATTGAAAAAAACATAGTGCCAAATAAATAATCAATACACGAAGGCCAAATGCTAAATAATGAAAATATCTAAGCTCTCAATATTTCATGGTTAATGATTTCTATGGGTTTCCTATGAGTTATGCTTTAATAATTGCCTTTAAAATCATGAATTATTTAATGAGCTCAACATTATATATATATATATATAATCCATATGATTATAATGTTTATAATATAAAGATTATATAATCATAACTTAAGTTTTGTTATAGGAAGAAAAAAAAAATTCACTATATCGATATTAACGTTGAACTCAAATTTGTCTGTGAATCACACCCAAAAAATAAGTGCCCGTTTGGGGCAGCTTATAGGGTGCGGCGGCGTTGTGAAAACGTCGCCTTCCCGTTTGAATTCGCGATGAGTGTAAATTTTTGGTGTCACGACGTTTTAATATCGCGATTTCTTTTATGGTTTCGCAAGCCGGACACCCCCCGCATCCCGCGTATGATTTTTGTGATTAGGAAAGAATTCGCAGATCTTCCTGTGGTGCCCTTCGTAGATCTCCCTCGCCCTCACCCATTCCAGGAGAATCGCATATCTCCCTGGCCCTCGCCCTTTCCAGGAGAATGGATCCTCCTTGCTCCTTCACTTTGACTGTTGAGATCGGTGCAAGGTATTATTTTCGACCTCCGATATCCCTCTCCTTCCTTGTCGTGAGCC